CCAGAAATGTCGATCCTCAACCGGACAAATGGAAGTTCCTGCTAAAGAATGTTCTCTTTTAATGACGACGATCGCGCGCGCACTAAACGCAACGAACTTGACAATTATCGCATATTTTCAAATATCTCTGATTGTAACCGTTATTTCTAACAGCCGCCTGATGATTGCTTCGCATGAAGCATGAAACTTAGAGTAGTGAATAAATTACTGAATAACCAACTCTTGGATTATAATTCATCGCTCTAGTTCAGCTATTGAGCACTTTTAAGTTGATGAGGATTTCAACCCAGCGGTTATGAATGTTTACAATTCAAGATTGTTTACAATTCAAGAACGGTTAGAAGTCGTCACGCACGCGCTTCTTCTGATTGGATGATGTGAAAAATTTGTTTTGGTGGCGACATTTCGTTACAAGCTCAGATTTCTTATTTAAGAGAGAGGCATTTTGAGCAGTCAAGATGCAAAGTTTTTCAGCCAAACATAGGTTGCAGCAAGATGTTTTGCCTTTGTATGCACTTGCCCTTTTGATATATATATATATATATATAACCAAAATAGCGGAATGAGATCATCATCTACTAAAAAGTGCTCAATAGCAGGGCTAGAGCTATGGATAATTATACCTCAAGAATTAGGTTACTTGAACTTTTACTGCAACCCTGAGTTTCATGCCTCTTGCGAAGCAATCGTCAGGCAACTGCCAGAAATAACGGTTACAATCCACCAGAATTTAAAAGACGAAACAATGGATACATGCGCGCGCAACATACTGCACGCGCTATCGTAACGTTAGGTTCTTTAACAGGAATTTCCTGACATGTCTGCAACCTGATGTCAGCTCATTTCTTTTGTTTAAACTTGCCATCTGCGGTTTACAAATGATAAAATATTTTTCCCACAAACACAAGTTGCATCTTTTAGCTACATTGGAATACGAACTAGCTTGTTTCACCTTGCGCCACTTAATATTAAACTTAGTGTCCTTATCTTTAAGACTCCATATATATTTGCTAAGTTCAGTAGCATGCCTGTAACGTTCGTTTCGGAATGAACACAAGTGGTTCCTGTAACGCATTTTAAAAGCGGTGTCACAGAGACCAATGTACGTTTCCTTTGCGGTTTCTGTGGTGACCTCTGCCTGGTAAATTATGCTTTCCATGTTACAGTTTCCATCCATGGGGCATATGTCAGGTTTTCGACAGTTGCAGCTTTTCCTAGCTCGATCATTAGCGCGTGCGAGTTTCCGGATTTCAGATTTGTTGTGGTTAGATATGACAGTTTTAATGCTGCCCATGCAGCTGTAGCTCAGTTTAAGGGTGTTCCGGTTGAAAATTTTGTGAAGAGGATTAGTTTTTGTGAAATGCTTATCAATAAGTGCAAGGAAGCATTTTCCGACGTTAGTTTCCACGTTCTTGCTGTATGGTGGGTTAAACCAAGTAATATTCCGCTGCCTGTTTCTTCGNCCGCCACCGCCACTACCATTGATAACAACAAGACATGCAACTGCCGACAAAAGAACACATGCCCGCTCGACGGAAACTGCCTGCAACCATCAGTAATCTACCAAGCCTCCGTTACACGCAAAGACAACAACACGACAGAAACGTACATCGGACTCACAGAGAATGACTTCAAAACAAGATACAGAAACCACACCGCATCATTCCGCCACGCTAAACACAGAAACTCTACCGAACTCAGCAAGCACATCTGGACCCTCAAAGACAACAACATCGATCACTTTATTTCCTGGCGCATTCTCTCATCGCACTCACCGTATAACAGCTCAACTAAAAGATGTAACCTCTGCCTCAAAGAAAAATTCCTAATCATCTGCCGGCCCGAACTATCAACACTAAACAAACGTAATGAACTCGTGTCTTCATGCCGCCACAGAAGCAAAGCCCTCCTACGCAACAACTAAACTGTCAATTTCGCGCTGCATAAATTAGACTAGTTAGATCATACAAATTATATTGTATATAAGCAATGGTAAAGCTTATTCTCATTAAATCCCCTGATGAGTGGGCGACCACGAAACAGGCTTGTAGGGGTGAACTTGTAGTTTACTTGTCTTTTTCCTCCCACAATATATATATATATCTATATTTAAACTCTCTATTCTTGTGGTGAATGGATTTCAAAGAGAGCTCAACTCTTGGAGAAGCAAATATATACTATTTGAAACCAGTTCAAGACATCAGGAGTGATTCATCGTTTTATTGCTACAGTCCTGTTTGGTATGGCCAAAGATTGGCCACACTCGTCAGGCAACATAAACGAATGACCATTAAATTTAAATGTTGGCGGTTAAATATGGTTGCTATGGTGTTTACTATCGCATCACGTTATGTGAAAGTCTTGAAGCACGTATCGGTTAGCTCAATTGGTTAGAGCGCCGGATTGTGTCGTGCGGGAGGTCGAGGGTTCGAGCCCCGGCCGGACCAATACTCATGGTCTTAAAATAACTGAGGAGAATTTGCTACCTTTCCATAATATCAAGAAATGGATAGATATTCTAGTCTTCTCGGATAAGGACGAATAAACCGTAGGATGTCCTCCCCTGGGGTGGAATGGGTAGGTTTACTGGGCCCGCAGTAATTGGCGCAAGTTGTTGCGGTGTCCCTGTCTGTCGGCGAAGCTAATAAACTAAAATAAGCTATTCCTGTGGGGGCATGAGGTCGCTAATTCATTTCGTTTATTAAGGGTACATAGATCTTTTCAGCTCAGCGGTGTTTCTTTTGTTGGTGTGCCGGAAGGATGTTTTATGATTTCTGTAACATTCTTTAAAGTTTGTTGCAAGCCCTACGTATGACTCTGTTGCTGCGTCGGTTGTTATGATTGCTTGGTAGAATACGTTCATTTCCAGGCATTTCCAGGCATTTTCCTTCAAGGGGGCATTCTTCTTTTGTTCGGCAGTTACATTGCTTGTTGGATTCTGGTATTGGAGTTAGGGTGTAATCTGAGAGGAGTTTTTCGTTGTGTGACGCGATAATGGATTTCATGTTTGGCATGCAAGAAAGTTACAGAAATCATAAAACATCCTTCCGGCACACCAACAAAAAAGACATCCCTGAGCTGTCAAAACACGTCTGGAAATTGAAAGACGCCAAGTTCCCCTTCAGCATTAAGTGGAAAATAATCAGAAAATTCAACTCTTACAGCAATATAACGAAGAAATGTCATTTCTCCCTTTATGAGAAATTTGTCATAATCTGCAGAAAAGATCTAAGTACCCTTAACAAACGAAATGAATTAGCGACCTCATGCCTGAAGAGGTCTGTGGACGAAACTAGTTTTGTAGTAGGTGTGTTTTAAAGTGCGTTGAAAGTTAATTTTAATGAGGTTTTTTTTTTCAATATGGTGATGAATGATACTTTCTTAGCTTCGGCAATCAAAATTTCGGAAAGACATTTTCTGTTGTTATAATTACTAGCTTAATTAGCATGTACTTATAAATTCAACTTGTAACGCTTTGTTAATCAAGTGAAGATGACAAAGGTTTCTGTCGAAACATGTCTTTTAAACTCAAAAGTTTTGTCGTTTTCTTTAAAATAAAATGTTAATAAATGTTACTAAAATGTTATGATTTTAGAAATTTCTCTGTTGTCCAGCTCTGAAATTATACTAAAACAATTATTCGCCTCAGGTTCGGTGAATATATATATATCTTATTAACGAAGCGCGAGGGCCGTACTGGGAGAATATCGGCCCGAGGTCTTGACAGTACGGACCGAGCGCAGCGAGGTCCGTACAAAAAAGGCCGAGGGTCGGTATTCTTCCAGTACGGTCCCGAGCAAGCTTGGTTAATAAGAGATTTATTATACGACTGAAGTTCAAAGGGACACAAGAGCGGTGTCAATCGGGATCATTCGGGACAGTGCGCGGTCCAATACTGAGAGAATATTGACCGGCAATAGAGCATTTTGATTGGTTGATTTTAGTTATTGGCCCTCTGACTGCCCGAGTCGTGTAATAATGACGAATAATCCCCTCGACTTCGTCTCGGGGATTATTCGACGATATTCACCTCGCTTTCGGCGAATAATTGTTAAATATATATATAACCAAAATAGCGGAATGAGATCATCATCTACTAAAAAGTGCTCAATGGCAGGGCTAGAGGAGGCTCTCCGAGATATCTTCCGACAGGGAATGCTACGATAGCGCTAAACCTATTTATCAAGAAGCTCTAAAAAAAAGTGGGTATAGCTACACCCTGTCATTCAACGCTGCATCAAACCAGGCACCACGTCCACGAAGAAACAGGCAGCGGAATATTACTTGGTTTAACCCACCATACAGCAAGAACGTGGAAACTAACGTCGGAAAATGCTTCCTTGCACTTATTGATAAGCATTTCACAAAAACTAATCCTCTTCACAAAATTTTCAACCGGAACACCCTTAAACTGAGCTACAGCTGCATGGGCAGCATTAAAACTGTCATATCTAACCACAACAAATCTGAAATCCGGAAACTCGCACGCGCTAATGATCGAGCTAGGAAAAGCTGCAACTGTCGAAAACCTGACATATGCCCCATGGATGGAA